AGGTTTATAATAATATGAAGCGAAAATCCTTTTATCGAAAGTATTCTTGGGTATCCCCCAAGATGTAATTAACTAGTAGGAACACGTTCCTCTGGGAGTGCTCTTGACCCCAGAACAGGTACATACACCTGACTCTCTGGTTATGGGTAGTCTATGTAGATACTTCTTTCGCGGATATTGGTTTAAGGTGTTTAAATTGTCTCCGCCCGATCTTGTTTGGGCGGACATTCTTAACATATCCTTGCGAGGTTTATCGCACGTAGACTCTCCACGTTTTACTTTTTCTCTTGTTTGTCTCTTTGTCGTATGTCCCTTCGTATTCGATTCCTCTCCTCTTCAAATCATTTTTATGGTTCGGGAGAGAGATTTATTCAAATGGGGGAAGTATACGACGATCGACAAGCTGACGACTCCTTTTAAAATAAAAAAAAAGAGAAAAATAAACGGAAAACATTCAGTTTCTTGATGGGTGGCTTCAATGTTATTTTGAATATAAATGGTGGCTCTTGGTTTACTTGAAATGACAACTACCCAATCAACGTTATCTCTTGCTCTATGTGAATATCGAATATAATAAACTTGACTCGCCTTTCGGGTTAGAATGAAAGAATCAAATTTAACATACTTTTTGTTCACTTTCACTTCTATGATATTATATAATTGGTTTATCGTTTTTCTACGATTAGGAGCATGATCTAACTAAATACATTTCCTACAATAAAACCTAGATAAGATAGTTCAACAACTTCTTCCAGAATCCCATGATAGTCTTTTCCGTCGTCTAACTTATAGTTTACTTCAACACAAATGCTGGAATTAAAAACTTTTTTTCCTTCGAACCATAATCTTGTATGAAACTTGTAACTATTTAAATCATAAATTTGTCAGATTTTCACGATATGCATAGACCCCCAAATAAGATTTTTCAACCTCTGATCTATCACTCTATTTCTTCAATCATGAATCTATTAAAATATACATGAGAAATCTTGTGTTAATGAAAAGCCTTGTGACACATCAAGAATGAATATGTCAAATTTAACCCACATGCGTTGTATGCTACTGGGAGAAGTTATTCTTGATCTCCCTACTTGTGTCATCATCTTCAACTAAATTTAACGAATCCATGAATAAACTATTCACACATTGAAATATCATTGAAATAGTTAATCATGACCCCTTTTCAAATAAATGAGTTAAAATTTATAATGAAAAAAATCTTACTCAATAAAGGTTGTACTTCGTGTAATTAAGAAAAACATAAAGCGTCGCTGCTCAAAGTTCCTTATCATTAAGGTAACGTGATGTGCACCTTCATGTTGCTTCTCTTACTGAAAAACAGAAAGGGTCAATGGTGACACCAAGCCAAAGACTTGTGGACTCTTCTTCACTGAAATAGTAAGAGCTAAATATCGTTGTCCCTTGCAATAAATATGCTTCACACATCGATCCCTTTGGTGGGGCCTTATTCTTCACAGTTCTTTTCTATTTATTCAAAAATCCAAAAAATATTGTTGCTCAGTATAAATTACTAATATTTTGTATAAATGATTGACTAATTATCTAGTCTTAATGTAATTACATCACAAGCGGATACATCCAGCGGTACTGTACTAGACCTCCATTTAATGCCTCGTGGTTACAGGGAGATGCTCCATTGAGTCAAAGAAACTAAGTGAAAATATTCTCTCAAGTTTGCAATTTATTACAGGAATTTTTTCTTCTAGCTGGTTTGTGCAATCAAGCTTCGAATAGGTTGTACATAGTTTCTTGAAAAATACTATGATTTCAATTAATGGATTAAGGACTGCTTTCGTCAAATAGCCAAATACAATTGGCATCAAACTTTGTAGATAAATATGACAGTTGTGACTCTTCATTCCAAAAATTTTTCTACCACCAACATCAACACAACAGCTCAAATTCAAAGCATACCCACTCCATTTTTTTTTAATTTTTGGAGTAACTCACAAATTGTTCTTTGTTGGGACAAAGTGAGGGAATATTTTGCTTTAGGCTTTACGAGCTTGCCGACAGTAGTTTCTTGGATCTCCAACTCTTGACTTTTGCATATTTCCTTTAAATTAAGTCTATTATTCACATTATCCTTTGTTTTTATGTTAACATCCATCACAATGTTAAAAATATTATCAAAGAATTTTTTTTCTCTGTGCATAACATCTAGATTGTGTCTGATCATGATATCCTTAAAAAAAGATAGATCCCAAAACATTGACTTCTTTGTCCAATTATAAGTAACACCAAATCTGGGTAGATGATGTGAAGATAGGCCATAACATGCAGTCATTTTTTTAATGTCACTAACATTTTGTATTATATCTTCCCGAGATATTCTTGGAGATGATAAGAATTTCTCAATTATGTTTTTTCTAAATGCATTCTTATTCCTCCTGAAAGGATGTTCAACATCTAGAAACATATAGTGACATTCAAACCATGTCTTCCTGCAATGTTGAAGCATAAATGCTTTGGATGAATTCATGCAAAATCAGCAGACTAAATTTCTTGCAGTGCTCCACCTAGATAACATTTCATATGCAAAAAAATCACTTATGGTCTACATTAATGTTGCTTTCATTAGGAAATTGTTTCTCTGATACGTCATACGTCATGAAACCTATTTTTCAAAGAATCTATAGCTCATTTATCAATGAATACAAATATACATGAATCCTTCTTTAGGGCTACTTGGACCAATGTATAATCAGTGTCAGGTAGAAGAAATGGGTTGTCATGCACATCTCAGGTAACATATTGTATGATGTAACAATCACTGGCAGAGAAAAGTAGGTCAATACAGTCTGACCATACGATGTGTAGCCATCAAAGCATAAAACTAGACCTTACATGCCTTCGCAACAAACTCAGGATATGAGCTATCAAAATATTTTCACGCCTCCCCATCGACTGGATGCCTCATTGAGTTGTTTTCTCCTGATCTGCTCTAATGCTACGTCATAATTGGAGCAATAAACATAGAATCATATAGCCTATATATATGTGGAATAAGTGATAGATAAAAGAGCTGCTTGAATGGAACCTCCCTCTGCCTTTTAATTTTTTTGCTTTGAGGTTTGAATCTAGGAGAATTACAAAATCTACATTTTTTATTGCGATGTTATTGTAATATAACATATATTCGTTATACAACAATCAATCATCTCTACATTAAGGCCTAACATGAAGACTAACTTTTTTGTGTTGTATAAATTTTCAGGGGCTAAATTTTCAGGTGGATTGCTCCCTTTCAACAGGCATGCGAACTGATTGAAACACTCTCGAGGCACGTTGTACTCCGTTTTGATTTTCAGCATTCTAAAGCTACAAATAAGTCAGAATAAAATGTGCAACCATCCCATAGTGGCCTTTGAGTAGCATTCAATAAATCTTAAAACATCTAAGCCTCGGGATTCAGTGTCTCTTCCTGCTACACTTGGCTTGCATAATGATGTCTTGTTCCATTAAAGATCATTTCCTCAAATCTACTTGAGTCAAATCTAGGTGGAGGATCATAACTCGTTGAAGGAGCGGAGTTAAATGTTGTGGGTTCAATCTCCCAATGTGAAGTCCAAATCGAGTAATTTGACTGAAATTCCTTGCAGTATAGATCATATTTAACTTTGTCAGATGTTATGTGTGTTCAATTTCTGTGTTTTTGACTATGGACACTGAAACCTACCCTCAGATAGGTAAACCAACAGTTAAGAAGCAGTTGCCAAAAATTCCTTGAGGTCATTCAAGGACTCTTAGGTGATCCCTTTTCTATCCAAATAAAGTTTGTTGTACATTCACAATTTAGATGTACGATTACCCATGTGTACCTTCAAACATGAGAATAATAAACACATTATAAAATTTATTCGGTTGAATACATAGTATTTACTTATTTAGTAGATCTACTAGTCGATTGGTAACAAAAGGTGATGAAATATGACAATAATCAATGCATTTTAAAAGGAGTGAATGTTTTAGCTAGCTTTGAAGTTAGAACGTTAGCAACCTGCTAAGACTGTTAGGGCTGTTAAGACCGATTATTGAAGACTAGTTATCCATATTTTTCTCTAATTTTGGTTGTCACTATAACTGCAACAACTGTTTCATGAGTATATCTTTTTCACATTTTCTCTACAAGTGTAAAGTCACTTATCTACCTGTGTACTCTCGTGTCAACAACTTTTACTAGACAACTTTCACATGATGTGTTAAGAGTCTAGTTAAAAGTTGTGAGGATGAGAATGCTGAGGTTTATGATTGACTCTTCACTTAGAGACAAAATATAATAGAAATATATATGTGTGAAGGCTAACATTGCTACAATGACATACAATATTAGAGTGATTCATCCAGATGGATTCACAATGTTTGACTAATAATAGTCTTAGACGAAACCAACATTACTAAAATGTCAAACGCTCCGACTTGTAGCAGATCTAATTTTTAGATCCAATATCATCTATCACCAAAGCTACACCAACTTTGCACGAATTTATTTGTTTCACATTTTATTTTTCAAATAGAAAGTCAATCATAGCACTAAGCATACTCTTCATCGCAAACCCCATACGTTATCGACTACACACCTGAAAATATGTTCTTAGAAAGAGATATTTCATATGATGTACGAGTTTTCATTGTATTCTTCATTGCGAACTCTAATTTCCCCAATCAGAATGAAAAATCACATTGAAATCTAAGTTGTCAATTCCAAAAAGGAATTTCATTTCAAAATCTAATTTGCAATGCTAAAATGGGAATTACAGCAATGAAATTTAAATTTTGATGTGAATTTTCATCTTGAAATTGACAAATTACATTTCAAAGTGAATCTCCATAATCGACATATTTAAAATTATTCTAATGCATAACACATTGACATACAATAGGTAGAACTAAATTGAAGATATGAAACAGAACATAAATCTAGAAATTCATTAACCATAAAAAACCTCCTAAACCGGTTTCGTATCTGATTAATTCACCAAAGGAGAAAAAAACCATCCATAATGCAACTTTTTTTTAATCTAATTCTATATATTGCTCCCATAAATTTCATGCTACTTAATCTTTTTTCAGTTTCAGAACCTAAAGTTCTTGCCCTCAAAGGTTTGTCCGAACTGCCAGTTTGAAGGAACAACATGCCACGAGGTGGAGCGGCGACCATCACCGGCGGTGACTCTGAAAGACAGAAATTGGCCGACGAGATTAGCATTGGTCTCCCAGTATTGCCCCCAGTTATGCCTCAATGTCCTCCACGGACGCCGTTGCGCTTTCACCTCAACATGCCGGACATCACCTGCTCCGCCCACATTCCACACCAGTATCATGTTGAAGTATGGGTTTCCCGTCATGGTGAACCTCATTCCTCCTCGCTTCTTGCATGGAACCCTAAACATACACATATCCCTAAATGAATCATGTACATCTAACTCACTCGACAGTTATAATGACACCAAACTTTGGCGAAAGAAGAGTCACCTTCGGTAAGACACAGGAACAATGCCCGCTTTGTATTGTGCAATATGGAGAAAAGCCGGCAGGGTGAGATCAAAGTGGGGGCGGGGTGTGTTGCACCAACCGCCGTTGTTGCTGGGGAGGTTGTAGTTTGGCGGGCAGTAATTGGTGGCGGTGATGAAGATGGAAGGCCTGCCCGGGTTGCACCACTTGGGATCATCCACGCATTTTATCTCAAAACAAGCGCCGCACGACAGCCCATCGTTGAACAGTGCGGTGCTCAATGCCGCCGTCTGTAAGCCGTAGCCTTGCGCTACGGTGTCGGAATACCCGCATGCGCCCCCTACATTTTTGTAATGCATATATATGAATTTCTAACAATACATTGCTTGCAATTTAATTAGAGAATTATACCATTTGATTAATTATTACCTCTTGTATCAGAACCATCCCTGCTTCCGTAGAATGTGGCGTGTGCTCGGGACCACGGGCCGGGCACAAACTTGCCATGGTAGCGGCGCTGTCGGTGGGGGTTCGGCAAAGTTCTCCGGAGGGAGCCGGGACCGCAGTGATGGTGGTGCTGGCCTGCAACTTCGCCGGAGATGTTTGTTGTCAGAAGCAACGAGAACAAAAGAAAGGAGGAGAAAGGAATGTGGAAAGCTCGGAAGGAATGCATCATGTTGCTGGTGATGAATGTAAATCCTTCATTGTATGGATGTATATATTTATAGTGGTGATGAATGGCTGAAAGCCATAATCAGCATTTGTAATGGAAGGCTGAGTTTTAGTTTCATTATTTTGGAGGAATGGAGGGAGTGTCTCTCAAACGGGTGGCTGTTTAAACGCCCTTGTAAGTGCATGGTTACTTTGGGTATGGCTATGTTTCTTCAATGGATATTATTTCATACCTTTTCTTTAATTTCTATTATTATTATTTTTTATTTAAAGGAAAATAATCAAGATTTATAGTATATTAGAGTGGTTATATTTTGATCAATTATAATATTTTTTAAAGTAAAATTATATTAATGAAATATTTCTTAAAATGATAATTCTAAGGGGTGGTTTAGTAAAAGTTTTAAGACAAGATTTAGGCCAAATTTAATTTAGTGCCGACTAAACAACAAAAAAAGGACAACTTTGAATCCTATTGACACCTTTGCTAGCTAACTCTCGTCGTAATTTTCATAATTTTTTTGGTGGCAAGGGCTTCATATAGAATAAGATGAGGAAGCCAAAAGAAGGTGAAGAGGAAATTATAATTTTAACATTTTAACTAATTTAATATTTATTACTAATTAAAAATATTAACTTAACTAATTAATGTTAATGATTTAATTTGATTTCTTATGTTTAATTATATTTATAAATTATTAATTAATTTTGATTGGAATATTATTTTATAACCAATTAGAATTACTAGTTAATGAGTAATTAGTTTGAAAGGATATAATATTTCATGGCCCTTAATTTTATATCCAACTTCTTTGTGCGCCAATCATGGCCCTTAATCATCTAATTGAATTAAATTTAGTGTCAATGATCTTTGTTCAGCATGTTTAAATGATAGTTTTTTGCATCAACTTAAGCCCAATATTTCAATCATATTATGTAAACTAGAGAGAATATTCACTTGATATATATATATTTTTTTATTCATTAGAGTACCTTCCAATAGATTTAACTACTTTATGAGACAAAAGTTGGTGGCCCAATTTAATATTAGTGGATGTACATAACTAAAAGATAGTTATCAATGCTTAATGTTATGCACACATTATATGTTTGACTACACTTAATTACTTATACAATTACAAATACTTAAATAAAGTTAAAGGAACTATAAAAATAAAACTCATTCTAAAGAGAGCTCCATTTGTGAAATATATTTGACTCGCGGGATCGTATGGTTTTGATCCTATTATTTTAAGCTATATGCAGAAAGTTAAAATGAGAATCAGCTTGAATCTCTTGATTGCTCAGATATAGTGTATCATGCCTCCCTAATTGCTCCATGAAATCTAAAATACAGATAATTCTGACTGTGAAGACATTTCACATACAATTTGACCTATTTGATATCATTGCTCAAAATTATAGAAACATAAAAGTAATTGTCTTTTGTAGCAAGTATACTTCACATATCAAGCCCTTGGGATGTGTTTTATTCTTAATAGTTTATTTTATTTTATTTTATTTAAAAATCTATGGCATAGAGTTATTTTTGATTAAATATGGTAGTAGTTTAGTGTGAAATAAAATGTAAGTCACGATTATATATACATCGAGAATACCACAACAGGAAAACTGTGAATTTGGAAAACTGTGAATTTGTGTCGAACGTATTTCCAACGCAAAATTAGTGGTCGATTAGTATCAGTTTAGCGTCACCGTGCGGTTCTACTTCCAGAAAATCAACTCAAAAAAGTAGTGTCGAGTGGTAGACGCATGGCTGACGCAATAGCATTGGATTAGCGTCAGATGTGGCCAACACTAATCTTGGATTAGCGTCAGATGTGGCCAACACTAATAAGATTAGTGTTGGCCATGGCAGATGCTAATGCTATAAAATAGCCATTCTGCGCACCGCAGCTCCACTTCGTGCTCATTTCCTTCTTTCGACTTTCGCTCGTCGCCTCCAAACTTCTCCGGCGATTTCGGGTCCTATTCTTCGCTCTGTCCAATATTAGCAATCTTCTTCCACCCCTCCACGCTTTGGTTTAACAAAAGTTTTCATCTTATTCTTTTTTACTTGCATGTGTTAGATCTAAAAATTCATAGGCTTTGCTCGAGCCTTTTTTTGTATTCCATTGCTAAGTATGCAATACATATGGATGTCATGATTTTCCCCAAGTTTAGTTATGAGATATATAAGTACATAAGAAATTTGTGCTATGTATGAAAATTTTAGTGTGTGATATGTAAATGCATAAGAAAGTTGTGGCATGTATGTAAATATGAAATTTGGGTGTGAGATATGTGAATGTGCATAGTGAGATATGTGAATGCATAGGAAATACTGTGCTATGTATGTAAATATGAAATTTAGGAGCGAGATTTGTAAATGGATAAGAAAATTGTGGTATGAATGTAAATATAAAATTTATGTGCGAGATATGAGAATGAATAAAAAAATTGTGGTGTGTAAATATGAAATTTAGGTGAAAGATATGTGAATGTATAAGCAATTTCATGATATGTAGGTAAATCTGAAGATTTATGAGTGAGGTATGTAAATACATAAGATGTTTGTACTATGTCTTTAGGGTTGAAAGTTTAGGTGTGAGATATGCAAATACATAACAAATTTTTGTTATGTATGTAAAGAGGAAAATTTAGGTGTGATGTGTAGGTGGACATCGCACATAAATTTGTGTTATTTATGTACATAAGAAAATTTATATTGATTCTCTGGATTTGTGGGCTATGAGTTTAAGGTATGATGTGCAGATGACCTAAGGTTTTAAGTAGGACGTGTAATGTGTAGGTGCCCTAATCTATAAAACAACATTTATGGTACAGATGAATATTCAAAGCGTTATATCGTGGATGTATAACAGATTATATCCAGGAAGAAAATGATTAATTGTTGAGTTTATGACCAATATTGAAGAGTTCATACATGTGGCATCGCAACTGTCTGTTTACCTCTCAGAAGGTAAGCTCTAATGCCTCTATGTGAAGCACAAGAATCAAGCGTACCTGACACCTAATGAAGTGAAGTTTGACCTATATCATAGGGGGTTGAAACTCGATTATTGGTATTTATCTGATACTATATACAGACCAAAGAGCTTGACAAAGAGTCATCCACTGAAGAGTTGCACGTCTTTACACATCAGCACGTGGGCATATAACAGTGGATATTCGACCACCCTCGTCGTTTCAATGTAAATTTAATTCTTTTAATATATCAATTAATGTTTAAAACATTAAGTAATATTTGAATATTTTTATGTTAGAGGAGTACAAATAGCTCCGAGAGAGACAGAGGGAGATGGCCAGCCAAATTTCACCGTCCGTTAACAATGGTAGCCAGTCTACCACTGTGCAATTTGATTATGAGTTGTGGATGCAGACAACGGGGAATAAGGGGAGAGTGTATGACCTCAGAGAAAAGAGGATGTTGTTTGAGGTCAAGCGTTCCCGAGCAACTTGTGGGTGACCCAAGCTCATTATAGGCTCAGCATGAGGAGCTTGTCAGGTGTGTGATTATAATGAAAAAAGAGCACCGATGGGTGCTTGAAGGCCAGCAACTCGTTGTAGATAGCCTAGCAGGTCTGACAGAGAGTTTGATCGCTAAAGCAAGCGGCACATGCGTCTGGTCGAGGAGGAGAAGCAGCCGAATGATGCTGAGAATGAAGATTATGTTCTTTTCTATGTTTGATGATGTTCCCTTCACATAGGAGCCTACTTTATATTTTTTTGATTTTTGTATTGTGTGAACTTTTAGTTTCTTGTGTTGTGAATTATGATCACTTTAATCGATTTATATTTAATATGATTTGGTATCATTATGTGTATGTTGGAGATTTATTTTAGGAGTTGTGATGATAGATAAATATCATATTATGTTGATTGTATTTGTTATGTGCATGTATATGGAAATCTAATCATTTCATTGCTTTTTTTATTACAAGTTAGCGTTAGAAAATTCCGACACTAAAACCTACAATCAACCAAATATACAAATTGTCGCTAAAACGACGCAATAATGTTGTACAAGGTTGACGCTAATTAGTGTCGGTAATGACAAACTCTAATTAACATTGGACATGTTTGACACTAATTTGCGTTGGCCCTATTTGACGTTATTGCTTCATTATGCCAGCGTCGCTTACATGTTTGATGGTAATTTTTGGTGCGGTTGTTTTTTATGCTAATGCAGGTGCAAATTAAAATCTAACACTTATGTTGGCACAAAATAAATTAGCGGCACATTTTAATGTTAGAAAAAAATGACGCTATTCCAACGCTAATCTGAATTAGAGTCGAAAATAACCGATTTGCGTTAGAAATTCCAACACTAATTAGGTTTTTTCCATCATGTACATACCTTTCAAAGGGATACATTCTATTGTACTGCACTGGAACCGCAATATAGCCTCATAACATAGTTGTATGGGCATATACTATATAGAGTTGAAGAAACTAAGAGGCAATATCCACTTGATCTTGCATTAATAAGATAATACTCGCATCAAGATTTCTCAACGAGTCAATGTTCATCATCCTTGCACACAATTCTCTAAAGAATATACTTATTTCGATCAATGAATCAAGCACTGACCTAGGCAGTACCTTACATGTAATATGTAGAAAGCATTGTAAAAATATATGACAGTTATGACTCTTCATGTCAAATATCTTCCTCATTCCCAAGTCAAAATAGTGGCTCAAATTTGAGACACATCCAATAGGAAACTTCAAAGATGCACCCACTCAAATATTTTTTTTTCCTGCTAATCTAATGCAAACAATATGTAGCTTTAGACTTTATTAATTTCCCTCGCATTTGTCTCTTAAGGTTTTAAGCCCCTCCTTTTGTAACACTCTCTTATTTTCATGATATCTTTTAATCTACCCTTAATATTCATCACAGTATTGAAGGTGTTATCAAAAAATTTATTCTCAATATGCATAACATCAAAATAATGTCTAATCATATTAGTCCTCCAGC